ATGGGGAGCAGGGGACCCACCCCAGAGTTGTGACTAGTGATGTACCACCTGATGGTAACAGAGCCCTCCCTCTGCTGAGCACCCTATGTGCCTTTTCTCAGAAACCTTTGAGTGAAAGCCACTCTGGTCAAAGAAGACAATGGGGCTCAGGGAAGCTAAGTCACAAGCCCAAGGCCACTAACTGACAAGTGCCAAGTGAGGTCTCATATCCAAGACTCCCAACTCCAAAGCCTGCGTTTCACACTGGCATGCTGTAGTATTAAGATGCTGTGCAGGGACTCTTGCTGCAGAGAACAGGGATAGAAGAAGTGGGGTGATCTTCTTGGGACCTTATTTATTTCCTCACGCCTGGCATAAATAATGGCCAATGTGTATGGACCATTTTGTGTGTGCCACTTGCTGTGCTGAGTGCTTTACGTGCGTTAATTTGCTTGAACCCAAAGGGCTGATTGACTGAGGATGACAAGAGGGGCTACCCACTCAAAGATACAGAACAGAAATGGAAAAGTGTGTGAGTGTGTAGGGGAGGATGCAGAGAGAACATCGGCCATCCGTAACATCAGAAAACCCCCATGTAACGAAGTGCAAACTTGTTGAGGGATGGGAAAGCACAGGTGAGAGCAGTTATTTGGGTGGAAATAAAAGAAGGAAACTGCAAATTCTTTATGGGTTATATGGTACATTATAAAGACAGAGCAGGGACGTGTGAGCTGCTTTTCAGATGCAAATTGCAAATAGATCACAAAGGTGGTGTGGGACTCTTACTCTCCAAACATCTGCTTGTAGTCTGTTCCACTAAAAAGCTGAACATCTGATAAATTTCTGACTGGCATTGGAGGTAATTTAATCTCTCAGAAGGTAGAGGAAGCAGGAAGCAGAACTGCTATTGCTAGACTTCACGTTGACCACTGTGAATAATAAGTTGACACTGAATGGACAGGGACATTGGAGAAAATGACCATGTGACATGGAGCTCACTGTATTGAGCAGAAAACTGGGCATTGACACATTAAGGGAAATGAGGCATTAAGGGAAATGAGTTTAGTCCAAGTGAGAGCCTTGTAGGTAGGACCTATCAACAGAGATTGAGAAGAATGGTAAGCTTGTAAAATTATAATGCAGACGTGAAAATCTGAACTGTTTCCATTGAAAGGATCTTTCACTAGGAAAAAGCTCTACCCATATGAAACTCAGATTTTAAAAAGAACATATACAAACCATGAAATATGGGTATATTATGTAGCATAATTAAGGGAGTCTGAATACATGCAGGGGGTTGAGTGGTGGCCTCCGGAAGATATGCCCCAGTCCTGACCTCTAGTACATCCTGCAAATGTGACTTTATATGGGAACAGGGTCTTTGCAAATGTAACTAAGTGAAAGATTTGAGATGAGCTCATCTGGAGTTTAGGGTGGACCCTAAATCCAGTGACTGGTTTCCTTAAAGAAAGAGATGACACAGAGGTACACAAAGGGAAGGCTGCGGGTAGATGGAGGAAGACATTGGAGCGATTGTGTCTATAAAGCAGGAAGCACTAAGGGTTGCTGGTGACCACCAGAGGCCAGGAGAGCAGCGTGGAACAGAGTCTCCCTGAGAGCCACTGGTAGGAACCCAATCTGCCAATTCTTTGATTTTGGACTTCTGGCCTCCTGAATACTTTTCTTCTGTTTTAAATCACTCGGTTTGTGGTAATTTGTTATAGCAGCCACAGGAAACTAATACAATACATTAACCTCCTAAGAAGACTAGGGGTGGAAGTGAAACCCACGCTCAGATTAGTCTGAGACTCCTGAAGAATGCTAAATGAGACAGAGGGGGAGGGCTTTTCAACAAAGTTAGAAACAAAACACACACAAGTAGAAGGGAAACCTGCTTAGGAGGATGCTGTTGTTTTTGCAAGTGACCTTAAAAAAGCACACCTGCTCAGCAGCCATAGAGGGAACATCTGGCTGGGATGTGGCCCACAGTGTCATGTTCACCTCCTCCTCAGTAGACAGTGGAAGGATCTGAGGACCTGGGTAAGCAGGATGTGATGGGTGGCACTGACGCTTTGGGCTCTTTCATTTCTGCTCTCTGCCAGTGATGTTGGGAAAACCATTTTTAACTTAAGTTTTAGTGTCTGTTTTAACCCAGATATTTAGATGCAGGCCCCATTTTATAACGTTAGCATTTTCCTGTTTCTTTTCATCTCTTAGATGATGAATAATGGACAGCAGTTCGAGATTTTCCCTTCTATTAAAATTGCTTGCTAAGCAAGATTGTGAAATCAATATACTGTGATTGTTTTACAAGCCAGAGGACATGTTATCTCAAATATTTGATCAAATAGGTGTGTGTAACACAGCCCTCATTTTAACTAGACCATATTCTTTAGTGATTCTCCTGCCCTTGTTCACCGTGCCCTGGGAAAATCAAAGCCCCCTTTTCTTAAAGAGGCATAATTTCAGAGCGAAATTTATTGTCAAAATGATTGTTGAAATAACCTCTGACCATCACAATTCTTTTTGCATTTCTGAAGGTGCTCACAGGTCCCCAAGGGGCAACCCTAAGTTTCTAGGACCACCTTGGGGTATGAGTGGCCTTTTACTACCCCCAAAGAAACCACAGTCAAGAAAAAAGAATCTCTAACTGGAAACTGTTTGACTGCTTAACATGTTGAGACAGTGAGTGAGGGAAATGGAATTTTTGCTTCTAATTGTGGAAAGTTTTTATATGATGGCAACATAATTGAGGCCATTGATGGAGGAGGCAAGAACCATGGAGTTTTCAGTGTCATTATTGTATTTACATCTTTGTGGATTAATTTCAGTGGCTTTTGTAACAAGGAGTGAGTCACAGTAATTATTGTCAAGCTTGTACAGGAGCAAAAAATTTTCCAGGATTGTGAGGATAAAGTCTTTCTCAAAATTACTTTGTGGTAAAAGGTTGAATTGGTCATTTTCACTCTCCGAGCCTATGATGTGGTTTACTATAGTTTATAAGAGTTTGAGCACTTACGTTGAGGTGAGATTCAGAATCCCACTTGTCTATGGAATCTGGGTAAGCAATCTGAAAGAATAAGACAAGCTGGAGGTAAGACAATACAAGACACCATGTCTGCCTGCTGGGTTAGGCGCCATTTTGTGGGCTCTTTCTCAGACCTCTTCAGATGGGCATCTTGGGAGCAGCAGTCTGGCAATGGGCAGGCCACTGTGGAGGAGGGATGGGGTGCACTGTGCCAACAGTGAGTTTCCTTGTCACTGTACCTAATTCACATGACCATTTCTAGCATTATTTTGCTAATTGGCTTACTACGCAACTTGAGGACTAGAGTGACCAAATCTGTCTTTATCCCCCTGGTGTAGAATGCAGGAATCTTTGGAATAAAGATGCCATGGTGGGATTTCTGTGACTGGGTCCCACAGGAAGTTCTGTTGAGGGTGTTGGAATCCAGGTGAATGGAATTGCTCCATTGATGAATTTCTGAATGCCTTTTGCTGTTTGTCGTCTTCTGTAGATTTGTTTAGCCTTTCAAATAGCCCTTTAAGATGTGTATTATTATCCCATTTATAAATCACAGATCAAAAGCTTTGTCACTGATGAGTTGGATGCTTTTAGGAAAGAACCTAACTTCTTGGTACTCCGTTTCTACTTGTGGAGCATGGAGGTTACTAATGGCGCCTGTCTTGGAGGGCTGTGGTAGAGGCAATGGGAGATGACCTAAGTACGTGCTTGCACCACAGGAGAGACTCAGTAAAGATTTCTGCTCCTTCCCCTCCTCTTCCTCATCATTAACATGCTCACCCTGTTGTCATTCTTACGCTCATCATGCTGGGACTGGATGGTGATCTCCCCTCTTAACAGAATTATGCTTTATGTGGCATCATTTTGAAACTGGATCTTAAGAAGTTTAAGAAAAAGTGGATGGTCACCAAGCATCCTTAGTGATCCATCTTTCTTCAACCACTATGCCAAAAAAAAAAAATACTTATTGTCCTTCTTTGCCTTTGCCCTTAATTTTTATCTGTGGACAGAAGGCAAAGAGTTAGCTTTGGGCTGCCAAGGGTGAAGAAAAGAGATTTATTCATGGGATCACAAGGGAAGAAGAGTAGACGGTTGTGATGAGCAACCTTTGTTTTATTCATCTATCCATACATTCATCTCTTTAAAAAAATTTTTTTTAATGTTTATTTATTTTGGAGAGAGAGAACAGGACAGAGCACAAGCAGGGGAGGGGCAGAAAGAGAAGGAGACACAGAATCTGAAGAAGGCTTCAGGCCCTGAGCTGTCAGCACAGAGCCTGACGCGGGGTTCGAACTCACGAACCATGAGATCATGACCTGAGCCGAAGTCCAATGCTTAACCAACTGAGCCATCCAGACACCCCCATCCATTCATCTCTTCATGTGTCCATAAATGTCTGGAATTTCTGCCATGTGCTGGTCAAAGGGGCACAGCAGAAGACCACATGAAATGGTTCCTGCCCTCCTGGAGTTCACCATTTGCTGAACAAAAGAGGTAGAGAGATGTAGTTATGTAATTGCAATTTATTTATTTATTTTTTAAAAAAGCAAACTTCTAAGTCAGAGGTGAAGAGAATTGGAACAGGACCATGTTGGCTGAGGTCATTTCAGTGAGAGAAAACACATTTTTCCTGTTTTTATTGCTGGGTTCTGACCCAGGAGAGGCAAAAGGTGGAAAATAATGCTGAGAAGGTCTCTCTCTGCTTTCTCAAGAACTCTGTGCTGTACAAGGTTGAAAGTTACAAATAAAGGGATGTATTTTTCAAGTAAGGAGTCATCAATAAAGGCTCCTGGGTGGCTCTGGGGGCTTGGGCAGGATGAGGAATCCCTGATGTATGGAGTTCCCAGGAGCTAAATGTTTGGGAAGCTATAACTTTCTTCACAGCTTCCTGTAAGATGAGTCTCATGCTGCTGCTATCTGCCGGCTCCAAGGGATGCCAGCCGGGGTTCTCTCTCACTTTGGTTTGTAACTTTCTCTTCTCTCTGTTTCTTTTCAGACCCGGCAATCGTCAATGGGGTTTATTGGTCCGAATCCCTAAACAAAGTTTTCGTAGATAACTTTGATCGTGACCCGTCTCTCATATGGCAGTACTTTGGAAGTGCAAAGGGCTTTTTTAGGCAGTATCCAGGTGAGTATCCCTGCCTTGAGAATTATGATTGAGATTAATGACCCTGTGATATTTTTCTTTCATGTTCAGGGTTAAATTTTCCCCCTCCCATTAGGAGAAAATGAAAGATTAAATTCAAATCTGTTATATCTATTGTCATGGTCCAGATAGGCGCGGTAGCATGGCGTCCGTACACACACACAGGCATTTAGATCTGCACGTGGTTTCCACATCTTTCTCAATAGAGCAGTTCATCGAGCTGCACCAAAAGTGAGGAGTTGGGGTGTGAGACACAGCATATTTGATCTTTCTGGACAAGAGTTTGCTTTATTACTATTACTACCACTATAGTTACTATCATCATTGTTATTACCGTGGAAAGGAACAAGTCATAATTGGGCTGAATTTTAAATTCTGACCAAAGGGGTAAGAAATGGAACATGTGAGGGGTGCCTGGGTGGCTCAGTCGGTTCAGCGTCCGACTTCGGCTTAGGTCATGATCTCGCGGTTCGCGGGTTTGAGCCCCGCATCGGGCTCTGTGTGGACAGCTCAGAGCCTGGAGCCTGCTTCGGATTCTGTGTCTCCCTCTCTCTCCACCCCTCCCCTGCTTGCACCCTGTCTCTCAAAAATGAATAAATGTTAAAAAAAAATTAGAAAAAAAAAAGAGAAATGGAAACTATGAACTGAGGTTTCCCCACTCCAGAGCTGACCGCTTCGGAGGAAGAGCTCGGACTGGCCCAAGCACCGCCGATGGCACCAGCTCATCTTCAGGGCCGCCAAAAGCACCCTCAGATGGTATGTTCATCAGAGTTTGTCCATCATACCTTTGGAACAGGTGTTCCTGAGGCCTCCCCAGACCTCCACTTTGCAATAAGAATTTAATTCTGGCTTGGTTTGAATTTTAATTAAGAAGGGAAGTTTTAATTTTGCTCACAAGTTGTGAAAACAGGACTCGAGGCTGCAATTGTGCCAACATCACAGCTGCAGAAATTAACAAGCTCAACCTAAAAGAAGGAAAAAACTCCCGGCATAATCTTGGAGCAATTAAGTGGAGACTTTTATGTTTTCATTAAGTAAGACTAGGCACCTGATGTCTTCCCACTTTGAGGCACAGAGACCGCCAGCCTCCGCCTCGAGGAGCCGTTTGCCCTGCACACAGCATCTGTCCCCTGAGACTTGCCTGCCAAGTGTCTGCTTTGCCAGATTATTTGACATTTCCCAAGAGTTGTGTTCAGCGGGGCACACGTGGTTCCTCCTGGAGCTCACAGAAATTTAAACAATAAGCATCCTAGTAAAGATAATGTTATAATAAACAGTGGTCTATTAAAGTTCCAGTGTCACCAAATTGCAATCTGTTTTGATACACTCAACAGAGAGCAAATTTAACACAGATGTTGCTGAAAATAAAGCGTGGGTGAGGGCTGATCCATAGATGAAGCTACAGGGACCTCTTACCATCTTACCACGTGGTGTTTGGATGAGGGTGGAGTCGATAAGAAGAAACCATAGATCATCTTTTGTCTCCGCCAGCAGGAAGTCCTTAAACTGTGGTCATGAGGAAATTTGAAAAAAAAAAAACAACAAAAACGGGGCGGGGGGTGCAGTAGACATCTCAGGCTGCCATAACAAAATACCACACACTGGGTGGTTTAAGCAGCAGGTGTTCATTTCTCATAGTTCTGGAGTCTGGGGAGTCTAAGATCAAGGTGCTGGCAGACTTAGTTCTTGGTAAGAGCCCTCTTTCTGGCTTGCAGATGGCTACCTTCTCCTTGTAGCTGCACATGGTAGGGAGCCAAAGCTCAGGTATTTCTTACTCTTCCTAGAAGGGCACTGATCCCACCGTGGGAGCTCCATCCTTCTGACCTCATCTAAACCTAAGTACCTCCGGAAGGCCTCACCTCTGCATACTGTCACACAGGGTCATGTTAGTTTTCAACCTATGAATTTGGTGGCAGGGACAAACATCCAGTTCATAACAAAAGGACATCCTCATGAAGGGTGTATCTAACAGGGGAGATGAATTTATGTACAAGGTTTTTAATCAGTCAGAGCCATCGACTCAGAAATACTTACCATGTTTGTGACATTTGTGGCAGAATTTTAACTTTGTAAAATTCCTGCATCTTTTCTGTGCTAGTAAAGACACGAGTCATGGTCCTATGGTGTTTCACTGCCCTATTAATGTCTTGCGGTCACTCAGTGCTTGGTTCTGAACAGAAAACACACCTCTTGTCTCTTGGACACAAAATGATTGTTAGAAGAATGACTCATGGACATTTTTTTGCTAGGATTTTTTATCTTCAGGAAACTTCGTTCCATGTTTAGAGTGGTATAATAGTATGAATCAGTGGTAAGTCTGCATGTTCTTAAAGAGAAGGGATATTTCTTCATTCTTCATTCAGTGTGTGCTGAGTTCTTGTTTTGTTCCAAGCACTATGAGAGGCTAAAATGGTGAACTTAATAGAAAAGGTCTCTGCCCTCATGAAGTTCCCTCTTGTGGGAAAATGCATTCCTCAGGATTTTGGTTGCAAGTGACAGAAACTGCATTCTAGCTAGCTCCAGCAAGGAATACATTTATTGGCTCAGGTAACTTGAATTCTAGGGAATGTGCTGTTTTGAGACATGGTTGGATCCAGTATTCAGCATTGTCATTTGGATTTTGAATCTTTCCTTCCCTCTTTCCTCTCCACCTTCCTCTATTCTGACCATGTTTCACTGGCAGGTGATCTCCTAGTGATGGAGAATATGGCTGTGTGCTTGCAGGATTATTTCTCACTATGGTCCCAGAGGAAGAGAGAGCATCTGTCCTAGTGGCTTAGATGTAAGTCCAAGGATTATTCTGGTCTGGGTCACATGCCCACAGCCTCAAGTGAGGGAGACTGGACAGTGGTAGGGCTAGCCATCTGAAACCATGGGGATTGATCAGGATTACATTACTGTGGCCTCGCTTGGTGGGGATCCCCAAAGGAAGTAACAGGGAACATGAGGGAGACAGACAGGTGAACAGGTCATGATGGTACAGTGTGTTTAATGCTAACATGGGGGAAATAGAAGGTGCTAGAGGATCACTAAGAAGGAGGGCAGTCTCAACTTCTGTAGGTGGGAGCATGGAGTTCTCAGAAGGGGGATTTTAGTCAACATCACCCTAATAAAGTACCTGGGATGATGTTGTCTCTTTCTGAATAGATTTACACAGGCCTTTACAAGTTCAGTGTAGGGCCTTTAGCCATGTGGCAACACTTCCATGCGCTGTCTTTTGGATGATATAAGTGTTCTATATCTATAGCACCTGTTATGGTAACCAATGGCCACATGTGGCTATTGAGCATGTGAGATGTGCCTAGCGAAGACAGGAGAACTAAAATATGAGTTTTATTTAACTTCAATTAACTTAAATCTAAAATTAAACAGCCACATGTGGCTAGTAGCTGGCATGTTCAGCTGTGTAACTCTATGGGTAAAGACTTTTGTAGTCTGATACCCAGTTTCCAAGGTACTGGCCTACCTTTTAGTTCCTGTATTACAAAAAGGTCTCACTGAGCAGAGAGAGAACTCTGGTTAGGCTCTTCTGAACAGCAACAGCCACAACAGCAACAAAATACAGATAACGGGTCTTTGAGCTCTGCAGAATTTGTTACTCAGGCCTTATCAAAGCTCTGCTTATTTCATTGTCATCCTTGGGCGTCTTTGGGAGTACGGTTAATATTAATATAATATTAATATTAATATTAATGCTGATCATAGTGATAGTGACCATCATTTATTGAGCACTGTCCTAGGCATCTATACAAGCATTGTCTGGTTTAATCCTCAATAATTCTATGGGCTGGAGCTACCATAAAATGCATTTTACCAATGAGAAAGCAGACCAAGGGGTTAACTGACCAAGCCACACCAGCAGGATAGGAGGGAGTTGGTAATGGTGTTAATGTTTTTAGCACCTCTTTCATGCTTTGTTCTTATGGCAGTTCTTAATCTATAAAATACGAATTCTGGCCTGTAATCCTGAGCCATCAGGCTTTCAATCCCCATCTCCTTTGCTAAGATATCTGCCCCAGGAGGACAGAGACGTTTGGCTATCACTCTGGTACCATCATCAACAATAACATAGTGTATAGGTGTTCAGTACATATTTTTGAATGAATGAATCACTCAGTGGACCAAAATCTACCAGACATATTGGTCTCATCACACTGTTAGTAGCAGCCCTGCCTCTTCAGATACAGTAGAGTTACTGCCTCTCTGAGAAGCTGGTCGCTGGCTAGAGTCGGTGGGACACAGTGACTAAGTAGGGAACTGGCATAAATACATTACAAAGCTATGCTCCCTTTCTTTTCTCTATTGCTTCCCTCCTCAAAGTCTTCCTGAGCCAATGACTACATAATTCCTTTTATCTTGAGATTCATTCCCCAACCAACCTGGGTGGGATCCCAAAAGGCATAGTGGCAATTCCAGAAATTATATAGCTCATGGGGTGCTTCTTGGCTACGTATCAATTTCCTGGTTCTCAACGATTTAAGATGAGCCAACTGTTATTTCTCGGTGATTTAAAGTTCTTTGAACAGTTTCAAAATATCCGTGTGTACAAAAAATTATATACTGAAAAGTTGATATATCCTAGGGGAGATAGTACCAGCTGAGACAGGGTTGCCTGGTGTTTGCCTCCAAAAACACATTTTGTTTTGAGATTGGGAAAGGAAGGGCTCAGTGGTCCAATTAGTTTGGTAAATGCTGCCTCTGCTGAGCCAGTTATGGAGATTCAAGATGCTATAAACAGATTAAAGGCCCACGGCATCCATCCCATGGCATAGAAACCAGTTTTACTTTTATTCATTCAACTCATGCTGACATCCCGGAGGACTTCTCATAGGACATCTTCATGTAACGCCTGTGTAAGGAAGAGCATGGTGACGTGGCATTTGGGAAATAAGTCCTATGGTCATAAGTGGCAATCTCAGGAAAATCTTTTGAACTCTGAGAGACTGGAGTCCCTGCTATGAGTTGAAAATTTTGACCCAAGTGCCAGGTTTGGGCAAGATGTCTCCTCGGTGCTCATCCAGTCCTGACTTGAGTCAAGTGATGACCTTTATTGTTCTACCTTAGGCCACTATGCCTAGAACTGTCTCAAGGTACTGTCTTAATCCCCACTCAATGTATACCTCACGTCCTGACCGGGAAAGGCCTGGGTCTCATGGGTCCTGCTGCCACCCAGGCTCCTTACCTTTGTCAGAGACATTCTCTATGCACAGCCATACCAGAATTCCTCCGGTTCCTTGAACTTGACGTGCTCTTTTCAATCTCAGGACCTTTGCACATTTCATTCTTTATGCCTGGGATATTCTTGTTCACCCTGTGGCCACCACTTTTGTTTTATGAGTCCTACCCATATGTAGTGGGTTGAATAATATCTCCCTCCAAATTTATGTCCTCCTGGAGCCTCAGAATGTGACCTTACTTGGAATTAAGGTCTTTGCAGATGTAAATAAGTAAGTTGGGATGAGATCACACTGAATTAGAGTAGACCCTAAATCCAGTATGACTGATACCTTTATAAGAGGAGAGGACTGACACAGAGGGAAGACAGGGGCAGAGATTGGGGTGATGAAGCAACAAGTCAAGGATCACCAAAGATTGCTGGGAGCCAGCAGAAACTGAGAAGACACAAGGGAGGGGTCTTCCCTAGGCCCTGTCGACACCTTGATTTTAGACCTCTATCCTCCAGAACTGAGAGAGAGTTCTTTTCTGTTGAGCCACCCAATCTGTAGGACTTTTGTTATATCAGCTCTAGAAAACTAATATACCATCATTCTGCTCTCAATTTGAAGAAGATCCTTCTTCCCATTAGAGATTGGAATCCCCTTTTGTACACTAATGTAGCCTCAGGCACTTCTCCTTTGTGACATCTCTGGTTCCTGGGATTTCTTATCCTTTGCCAGCTTCCCTGCCCAGCATGAGGCTTCCTGAGGGCAGGCAGGGGCCAGGCCTGTCCTTCCCAGTCAAGGCTCTGGGGTTGTCCCATCTGTTCCACTTTCCTTGGAATTATATCCTTTATAAGGTTTTCCCAACAGACTCATTTCATGTCAACTTTTTCAAAAAGCACCTAGTAGGGCAGTGCTTGGAATTGGAAGGAGTTACAAGCCCACGTGCAGGTGCAGGGGAATGATCTCAATCCAAAAGGAGAGCACTGAGTGTCATTAATCCCTTCCCCCCAGGCCCTAGCCTAAATGCTGGAACTGTAAAACGAATCACACATTTTCTTGTCCCAGTG